GAGTAGATTCCTTGGCTCAGTGGAAAGAGATTTTTGTCCATCAAGTATTAGGAAACTAGTTTGAATCTCAACTGTGTAAATGTGTTTAGTACCGGCCAAAAACTTCTGGAGATCAGCTGAGGAAAAACTCCTCTGTGAGCACAAGCCAGGCTCCTTGATGTTAAATCAGATTTGCTTCTGAAAGGATTGGCATGTTTGATATGATTAGGAAGTGTCAGTTGTGCTGATTATAAATTAAAAATTTTTAAAAATATATTGATCTGGAAAATAAGAAACATAAGGCCATATTGCTGTGCTCTACTCTTTGCAATGATGCTTTAAAAGTGATGGAAATGGGAATTATTTATTGTTGGAATCCCAACTAGGTTATTGTATAAGGATTTGCATGCTATCATCATTGTATTAAGGTGCCAAAATCAGTTACAGGAGTGAAAAGAGAAAAAAATCAACATAACTTGACTTGGTATGTATTTAGTATTTATTTTTCTTTTATTTTCAAAAATGGTTCTTGAGCGTGAGGGAATTTGGAGGCTGGGAGAAGATCAAATGAGGTAGGATGATAGCCCACAATTTGTTGAAGGAATGAAATTATCCCATCTCTTTTAAAGAAAATGTATTGTATTTTTGCCTCTCTTCTCATTTATTGTCTCTTATTCCCATTCCAGCCATTTACTTTCTCTCTTTTGGACACAGTGGGCCAGTGAGGGCTAATCATTAAAGTTGTTTCTAGAGAAAGTAGATTTGGGAAATGTTTCGAAGAACTAGAAGACAGTGGAGCTGGGTATATTCGCTCATGCCTGTAATTCTAGCACTCTGGGAGGCTGATGAGGCTAGATCACTTGAGAGCAGGAGTTCAAGACCAGTGTGGCTAACATGGGAAAACCCCATCTCTACTACAAATACAAAAATTAGCTGGGCCCGGTGGCACGCACCTGTAGTGCCAGCTATTCAGGAGGCTGAGGCATCACTGTATTGCAGGCTGGGCAACAGAGTGAGACTCTGTCTTAAAAAAAAAAAAAGAAAGAAAGAAAAGAAAGAAAAGGAAAGGAAAGAAAGAAATAGGGGAGCAGGGGGAAATAAACAGAGGTGTATTTTTAGCCCCCAAATCATGATTCCCTTTCTCCCACAGACTTCTGTTTCAAACCATGTGTTATTAAGATACAAAGAAGCAATACCTTGATAATGTGCACATATTTTAATTAGTGATTATTTTTAACTTTATTATGGCAAGGTTTCTAATCTATTATTTGGCATTTATATGGTGCTACGTAGGTGAAGGTATTCATAGCAAATCTCCTATCACCAAATAATTGAAGTTTCTTCCTCATTGAAAATGCTCATTTTTAAATAGAATTGTTACAATTATGTCTACCATCTTAGCTCATAATCTTCCTGGAAATAGAGAAAATACCAGGTGACTACATAGAAACTCTAGGTCTAGAACCAGCCATGACTTAATTTTTTCCTACCTTCTCCCTCTCAAGAATGTTGAACAATAATTAGATAAACCTTGTGAACTGTTTCCTTTTATCAGTAAGTAGAGTTTGTTTTATAACCTCAATTAATATATTTAGATCCACAGACATGCCCCACACCCAAAAGGCAACTCTGTTTTCCTCTGGAAATGTTTCCTGTCTCTATAGAGTATAATTTAAGGTATTTAAATCAAATTGGGAATTTCTGAATCCTGAAAACCATACTTTGCAAAAGCACATAAGCCTAAAGTTGAGCAAGACTTCAGTGCTACTATGTAAAGCTATCATACTGCTACCATCTGATACAACCAAAATTGGGGTGCATCTGCACCTAGAAACACCATCCAGAAATAAAATCTTAAATCATAACTAGAATTTAATATATTCATTCAATAAATTTTTTTAACAAGTGTCTACTATATTTATCAACCCACTCTAATTTTTTATTATTGTGCCATTCACTATTCTACAAGCTGTGGATACAGTAGCAAGTAAAGCAGACAAAAATCCTTACCTTGCATTCTAGTTTTTAGAAGAGATGCTAGGAACACAGCAGTGAGTAAGATAAAATGAATCCCATACCGTTATGAAGCTGAAAGTCTAATAGAGGTGGTGGCTAAAAAGCAAGTAAACACATACATACATAGATACATCTATAAATACATAAAGCAGATAAGTAAAGATACGAATATATGAAACAAAGACAATATGGTAGAGGCCTGAAAGAAACTGACATAGATAATCTAGATGACATGCAAATGTAAGTCTTTCTGGAAAAGAAAGAATAAGACCTTTGAAATCTTTTTGCTACTTTCTCCCAAGCCTATGATGAACTTTTCAAAAAAATACCATGAAATGTAATTCTATCTCATTATTTTGCCAGAATAAAATGAACCCAGTTCATAAGTATTTGAAAGGGATGAATAAATTTTCTAAGAATATGTTTAATGTCCTTTCTTTATAATAAAATAAAAACAACATATGTGAATATTAAGATAGTATGTATTTAAATAAGGTAGAAGGTTAAAGTAATTATTTACATGATTCAGGAAATAAATAGTGATTGAAGAGGAAAGTATAATTAAAGTCTTGGAATTGAAAGATTCAGATTATTGGTCTGTATTAGTCATATATATCAAATAAATTTTTAATTATTTTATATTACTGATGTATGTGCAAATAAAATACTTTTGAAACACTATATGAAATACTTTTACAAAATCAGAAGACTTGATAAAGGTGCTCTTTCCAGGGTTCTGATTGTATTTTCATCTATAATGTTATCTCTGAAATAGTAACATTCACCTATATTGTTAAACTAATTAAAATCTACTATAAATAAAATATAGTGAACCATTCAAAAATACCATAAATTTTAAAATTGAGAAGATGGTTGGTCATTTTCTCATTCTATGTAGTTACTTTCACTGTTATTGAGAGTGGCAGGAGGCAGCCAAATATCTAGGCAGATAGGAGTGAGACCCTGGAGAGATGCCACCTTTAAGCCAAAAACAGCCTGAATGCTGAAAGATCAGACTGCTGGCCCACATGAAACCTGTGACCCAGAGTGAGAATTTCTGTTACTGTTTACCTGCCCTATCCCAGTTGATTCTTTCTGAATAATGCCTTTTAACCAATCAAATGTTGCCTTTTCCAATACTATGGCATACCCTTCCCCTATTCTGAGCCTGTAAAGAGCCCTGGACTCAGCCATATTAAGGAGACTCTTCCATCTTCAGATAGGGGGACCACCCTTGAGTCCTTTCTCCATGGAAAACTGTTTCATCACTCAGTAGAATTCTCCACCTTGTTCATGCTTTGATTGTCAGTGCATCCTCATTCTTCTTGGGCATGGGACAAGAACTCTGAAACCAGTGCACAAGCCAGACTCAGCCCAGGGGGGCTAAGCGGGCAACTGTCTCCTGCAGCAGGTAGCATGGATGAGTGAGGCCCAGGCAGGCATTGCCGACCAAAGATTGGCTTGCAAAGTGACCGAGAAGAAGATCCTGCATCATTATGATTTTTCTTTATGTTATATTGTTAAAAATGCAAACAATATACAGGATATATTGATTCATATAATTTCCAGTTGTTCGGTAGTAAATAGAGTTATGTTGAAATATTGTAAATCATTCCATATTATACTTAATAACAGTAATAAAATTTTTAAAGTTAATAAACAATTCAGTAAAATACATAGAAACTTAAAATGCTCTTTGTTCAAGAATTAGACCATAATTTCCAGCAGAATTGCAAATTTGTTTCATTACCTGAATGTCAGTTTGACACACAATAAAAATTATTGTTTTCATTTGATTATAAAGAGAAGCAAACAAGCTGATGAAAGATAAAACAGAATAATACTTTACATCAAAGCAAATAATTTCAAACTATATTTGCATTGCTTTTCTATCACCAAATTTGATAATATCTATCTGTTTTAGTATTTCTGAACTGTATAGATCCTATACTACTCCTGTTTTCCTTCCTGTTTAATTGACATTTTTAAAAGCTTACGTGTGGACTTTCACTAGAATATTATTCTTTCCATCTTCATAATCAATTGCTAAATAAAGGTATATTTCTCTATCATCCAATGCCTTAATTTTGTAGTATTAATAAATTTTCTAGTAGATAAAATGAATATATATATTTGTGTGTGTATAATCATAACTTGATAATTAACATGAAAATGTTAATAAAGTATACATTTAAAATAGAACACAGGCAATATCATCCTCATACACAAACTATGCATATTTTCCTTCTACAGTATATATCAGGTGTTTTTTCTGCTCTAAGAAAAAGATAAGAATTAACACTAAGTTCTTATTTTTAAAGGAAATGCTGTAATATGTTGTATTAATGAAGGAAGTGGCAGTAGTAGCAGCCTTTACTAAGGCATTGGTAGCAGTAGCACTTGATTTTGAGTCTTCATTTTGACACCTACTATCTATTTGACTTTTCTTTTGCTCCTAGGTTTATCAATTCTAAAAATTTGACCTTGGGATTCAGGCTCGGTGGACCAGCAAATGAAGTCAGGAGAATTGTTATGAATTGGGGAGAGTTGGGAGAATAGTGGTTCCCATCATGATAAAGAGCAATTGCAATAAAAGAAACTAGAATAAATGAAAATTAACCAAAAATTAAACATATATTAGTTTTTTTTTTTACTTTGCTGGCTCAAGAAATCAATATTTGCATGTATCCAAGTATCACGTATTTTTAAAAATTTAAATGGAGAGAATATATTAATTTATTCATTAAAGTTTCCCTTAAATGATTCTCCTCTTACATCTTAATTTCCATGCCCTTCATCTCTAACTATAGTTGATTATCAAAGAACACATGCTTCATACTCTACTGAAGGGACAACACAAGATAGCAGTAGTGTTATTTACCATTCTTTAACATTTCACTGTTTTGAATTAATGTTCCATTACCTGAGATATCTTAGTACACATTTTAGAGCTGATCTCTATATAATGAAACATTCAATTGTAATGGAAATCTCTTTTTCTGCAGACTTTACAAAAAACTTCTACACCAAAGCTGAACCAAGGACAAAATCATTACAGGCTGGCATCCTGAAAACATCTACATTATAAGGTAGGCACTTCCAATGAAAACATTTGTCTTGTCAAAGAGCACCTAATAATACCTAGTAAAGATTATGTGATAAGTAAGTGTTCTAGTTTTCCATTCACAAAGGAAATTTACATGGAATAGATGTAATATTTTAGTTATGATTAGACACCTTCCTTAATACTTAAAATTGCCACACAATTTCTTTAATCTATTTTCATTTAAAAAACACATACACTAAGTTTCAATTCCACACAGTGAGTGTTCCTGTGAATTTGTTTATAGTATAATCCAACATAACGTTAAATAATTTTCTGCTTGCTATAATTTTCATTATTTTGGGGTTTATTAAACATCTTTGTTCTGCTCCTTCTAGCATCCTATAATGATACCTGATTATCCCTGATGTAAAATAATATTGTGCTAATAACCATATTATTTTCAGATTCTTTTAGTAGCAAGCAACAGAAACTCAATTAGAACCAGCCAAAGCAAAAAGCGGGAAAGTCATCAAATCAATGGAAGGGCAGGGATATATCAATACAGTCTGGCTCTCTGTTGCCTCTCATTCCCTCTGTGAATCAGCTTTAATCTCTTTTAGTCACTGGTATGATTGTCTGAGCCAAAAATATAGCTGTTTTATATAATAAAGTATTGTTTCACTTTAAATATATGTTGATATATGCCAGGAATAGACATGCTTTATTTTATTCACAATTTTACCCAGAATGATTAACTATTTTAAAAATATTGCATCAGTAAAACAATTTGTGGTATGTGAATCACAACTATAATAACATATCAGTCTGAATTAGAAACTGTATATTCACAGTGGAAAAAAAGTAAATAAAAATTATGACTTTAAATAGCAGAAACAAATCTTAACATAATCATAATTATGATGCATTTAGGTAGATTAAACTCAGCAATTAAAACAGATTCTCAGGTAACATTAACAAAACAACCAAGATCTAGCAAAAGTTTCCCACAAAGCTACCATACAAAGTATATGCAGATTAAGAATTGTAACTTTGTTACTAATCTGCGACAAAATAACTGTAGAAATTGAGTTAAAATATATTAAATGTTACAGAAATTTGACAAAGTAATTCCATGTCTGTCCAAGCTAATAAAAAAAAGTAGACTTGTATTTTGAATGGCTTTATTTTCTTTTTTAGAAACCATATTTATTGCATTGTACAAAATGAACATATAATAGAAATAGAATAGAAAATTTAGAAAACCTGGATTTTCCCACAGTTGGTTGAGAAGCACTGGTCTTTAAGGCGCATACTTAAAGAATATCAAACCGTTGACAAGAATGAAAATGTGTCAGGCATATATATCAGCCAACAGAAAGTTGGAACAGTTAAATTTCTCACAAAATAGAATTCAAAGCAAAAAAAGTGTCATAAAGTACAAAATATGTTACTTACTGGTAAAAAACAATGGAGTAAAAGTAACATACCTTCACCTTACAATATTGTTTAAGATTATGTAAAACAGTAATCTTATTTACAACAGACACTTACACATACACACACACACAACAACAACAACAACAAAACCAAAAAAAACCAAAAAACTAGCAATACATCTCACCAAGATCTCTACAAGGGAAACTACAAAACAAAACACTGTTGTAAGAAATCATAGATGACACAAACAAATGAAAAAAACATTTCATGCTTATGGGTTGGAAGAATCAATATTATTAAAACAGGCATACTGCCCAAAGCAATCTATAAATTCAGTGCTATCCATGTCAAACTAATATCATTTTTCACAGCATTAGGAAAAATGATTCTAAAATTTATATGGAACCTAAAAAGGAACCAGAATAGCCAAGGCATACCTAAGCAAAAACAACAAAGTCCCAGGCATCACATTACCCAACTTCAAACTATACTATAAGGTTAAAGTAACCAAAACAGCATGGTACTATACAAAAACAGACACATAGACCAACGGAACAGAATAGAGAACCAAGAAATAAAGCTGCACACCCACAGACACCCAATCGTTGATGAAGTCAACAAAAATAAGCAATAGGGAAAGAACTTTCTGTTCAAAACATGGTGCTGGGATAGCTGGTTAGCCATGTACAGATGAATAAAACTGAACCACTGTCTGTCACAATATACAGAAATTAATATGAATTGAAGATTTAAATGTAAGAACTCAAACTCTATGAATCCTGAAAGAACATCTAAGAAGCACCATTCTGGATATTGGCTTTAGAAAAGAATTTATGACTAAGTCCTCAAAAGCAATTGCAACAAAACCAAAAATTGACAAGTGGGACCAAACAGGTTTCTGCAAAGCAAAAGAAACTATCAGCAGAGGAAACAGACAACCTACAGAATGGGAGAAAATATTCATAAACTATGCATCCAACAAAGGTCTAATATCCAAAATCTATAAGGAACTTAATTCAACAGCAAACGACAAGGAACTCCTTTAAAAAGAAGGCAAAAGACATGAATGGACACTTCTCAAAAGAAGACACACAAGCTACCAACAAACATGAAAAAGTGCTCAACCTCATTAATCATTAGAGAAATGCAAATCAGAACCATCTCACACAAGTCAGATTAGCTATTATTAAAAATTTAAAGAACAACAGATCCTAGCAGGGCTGTGGAGAAAAGAAATGCTTATACACTCTTGGTGGGAATGTAAATTAGTTCAGCCACTGTGGAAACCAGTTTGGTGATTTCACAAAGAACTTAAAACAGAACTGCTACTCAACCCAGCAATCCCATTACTGGGTACATATCCAAAAGAAAATAAATCTTTTTGCCAGAAACACAGGTGTACTTGTATGTTCATCACAGCACTGTCTCCAATAGCAAAGACATGGAATCAACCAATGTGCTCATCAATGGTGAACTGGATAAAGAAAATGTGAGACATATACACCATGGAATACTACATGGCCACAAAAAAGAACAAAAATATGTCTTTTGCAGCAGTATGGATACACCTGGAGGCCATTATTGCAAGTGAATTAATGCAGGAACAGAAAACCAAATACCACATATTCTCACTTGTAAGTGGGAGCTACGGATTGGGTGCACGTAGACATAAAGGTAGCAACAGTAAACACTGGGGACAACCAGAGGGCAGAGGGAGGGAAAAGGGCAAGGGTTGAAAACCTAACTATTGGGTACTATGCTCACCATCGGGGTAACAGGATCATTCACACCCCAAACCTCAGCATCATGCAATATACCCAGGCAACAAGCCTGCACATGTGCCTCCTAAATCTAAAATAAAAGTTGAAATTACACACAAAAAATTTTAAAACAAAATAAATTAGCAGAGAGACAAAAAGAATATGTAAACAAAAAATAATATTCAGGCAAATTAATAATTGTTATTGTTGATTTTAATGTATCCCTCTCAGAAAAAAATAGACAATCCAAGAAAATACTAGGTTGGATATAGACAACCTAAATAATTCAATTAATAACAACAAAATATTATTTATTAAAAATTTTTCACTTAAAAGTATATAGAATACACATTTTCTTTTTGAGGAAATACAAAATATTTACAAAAACTGGTTCTGTACTTGGCCACAAAAGAAACTTTAATAAATTCCAGAGGAGATCAGGCATGGTGGCTCAGACCTCTAAACCCAACGCTTTGGGAGACCAGGCAGGAGGAATGCTTGAAACCAGGAGTTCAAAAGCAGCATGAACAACATAGCAAGACCCCCCATTACTACAAAGAAAAAAGAGTTTTGTTTGTTTGTTTGTTTGTTTGTTTGTTTGTTTTAATTAGCCAGTGAGTTTGTGTCCTTTGCAGAGACACGGATGAATCTGGAAACCGTCATTCTCAGCAAACTGAGACAAGAACGGAAAATCAAACACCGCATGTTCTCACTCATAGGTGGGTGTTGAACAATATGAACACATGGACACAGGGAGGGGAGCATCACACACTGGGGTCTGTTGTGGGGGCCTAGGGGAGGGGCAGTGGCAGGTTGGGAGGCTGAGAAGGGATAACATGGGGAGAAATGCCAGATATAGGTGACAGGGGGATGAAGGCAGGAAACCACATTGCCATGTAGGTGCCTATGCAACAGTCCTGCATGTTCTGCACATGTACCCTAGAACCTAAAGTGCAATTATATATATATATATATATATATATATATATATATATATATATATAAAGCAAAAGTTAGCAATCATCTTCAGAGTAATACCCTCTACCCTTCTCTGCTGCCTAACAGTGGGAGGAAAGTGAACAGAAATTGTGAAAGCAAAGCCACACTTCTATTTAGCTACAACCCTGCCAACGGCACAATCTTCCATCAAGATAGAAAATAAGAATGGCCGGGTGCGGTGGCTCAAGCCTGTAATCCTAGCACTTTGGGAGGCTGAGGCGGGTGGATCAAGAGGTCAAGAAATCGAGACCATCCTGGTCAACATGGTGAAACCCTGTCTCTACTAAAAAAAAATACAAAAAATTAGCTGGGCATTACAGGTGGCGCACACCTGTAATCCCAGCTACTCAGGAGGCTGAGGCAGGAGAATTGCCTGAACCCAGGAGGCGGAGGTTGCCGTGAGCCGAGATCGCGCCATTGTACTCCAGCCTGGGTAACAAGAGCGAAACTCCGTCTCAAAAAAAAAAAGAAAAGAAAAGAAAGATGCACTCAAGGTTTTCCAGCATGCTATTACATGTAATAGTCTGAGATGAGGTATATATATAAGAAAATAAATTAAAAATATATTGTGAATTTCTCTTTTAAATACATGATTTTACTAGACAATTAAAACTGAGTATGGAAGGTTGAAATGTTATGTCTAAAGTTTTCTGATGTCCATCAGTTCATTAAAAATAAATGTATATAAAGAAAAAAAAATTAGCCAGGTGTGGTGGGATGTGCCTGTAGACCTAGCTACTCAGAAGGCAAAAGTGGATTGCTGGACTCTAGGAGTTCAAGGCTACTTGATCATGCTAAATCTCAGTTTTGTTATTTGTAAGAGATGTAGAAAACGATGCCTACTCCA